GGCACACACTTTTCAATACAGACATTCCTAGACTCCGCCCAGGACAGTATTCACTGCTCTAGCCTTTTTGGAAAGTAACGGGGCACTTAAGAAGAGAAGAATGAACCCTGAAAAATATGTGTACCCCATAGCTTAGCAAATCTGCTTCTGGAATGTTCATAGGGAGAGCTCAAAGATCACAAAGTGTCTGTATGTTCAAAGATGTCTGCTTAGAAGGTACTTACACATGCAATAAAACATTGGTTGGCTAGAGTAGAAAGCAGCACAAGACTGCTAGCTTGTCTAGTTCCGGTCAGTGGATTTGGACTCAGCACAGAGATGACCTGCCCCTGAGGGTGTCCTAATCTATAATCCTCATAGGGGCAGACGCCACGCCTATTCCGTGGCTAAGCCTCTGTGCATGCGGGTCCACACTGTCCACCTTTATAACCATGGTGTCACCAAGGCTCCTTTGGAGAGCACTTAAGACCATTAAAATGATTCACATGATCTAAAAATCAAGTGCAGATTATAAGTCACTATATAACAACACCAGAAGAGCTCTGTTCTCCTGAATTGTAACAAGTGGCTATCACTGAAAGATGGCGATTATACAATTTATTTATTTTTTCTGTATTTCCTATAATGAACAAAAATACTTTTGTAATTAAAAGGAAATTCATCCAAGAATCAACTTTGCGCCCGACACTAGGGATGCAGAAAGAGGACCACAGGCAAGGCCAAAGTATTTATGGTAGTCCTGTTGATCGAAGGATGAGCCTAGCAGGCTCACTTATGCTTCCTGATACACTACGCATCCTCAGGTAGCTCCTTTGCATCCCTCTCACAGCGGTAAGCAGAAAGAGAAAGAAAGTTCTGCTTCCACAGCGTAGGTGAAGCATCTGAACACAGTCTTCCGCCCTCGCTGTCTACCTTGTGCAAGGGCTTTGGGGGTGTTCACCTTGAGGGCTTAAGAAAACAATCCCTGGTTGTGGAGGACATGTTGCTTCTCCATGTGCACATACACACATTCATCCCATCTATGTTCCACACACACGTGCATATACTATGTATCATGTATAGGAAGGGTTCAAAAAGTTCATAGACAAAGGAATGAAAAGATAATGGAATTTATCCCCACAACCTGTTTTATGGCCCCTGGTGTATACAATAAATCCACAATCTGCCGCAGGTGCTCCTCCCTGTTTCTAATAAGATTTGAATTCAACAAGCTTTAAGCTAGAAAATCCAGGCTTACCAAAATGTGAGTATTAAAAAAGAAGAAAAATAATAATAAGAAGAAGAAGATGAGGAAGAACATACCAGGTCCTTCAGAGAAAGACAAAGCTTTTCGAACATTTGAAGGGAACGTCTAGGTCCCCATGCCTTCCCTGCTGGCCCCTCCAACTGCCTGTGTAATCATTTATGATAAAAACCAAAAGGTGCTACTGAAAGACAAAGCCCAGAGCATGCTAACCTGTGGAAGCTTAACAAACTTTTAAAGATAAACTAACCGAATGGTGTGTGTCCATATACCATCGATCTGTCTACACAAACCAAAGGAAAAGTCCTTAACAGCCTAGTTGTACCATCTGGTTTCTGAGGAAGAATCTTTCTGCCCACCCCAGCTGTGTACCATGAGGAGACTGATTTTGAGTTTGGCAGCATTGTTCCTGTTTTAAAGAAAATAGTTCTATAAATATGCATATACTATCATCATTATGTAATACCACATCCATTGTAAGTTTAAAATAAGTTGCACACCCAATGACGCCAGCTTTCTCAAAATAAAGAAGTCTATTTTAGCCATCTCCTTCATAATATCATTCCTTTGATAGCACCCTAGTCAACCACTCCACCTTCAGGTGTGCATACTTTTTCTTTACCATTCCCATTTTGTGCACGAATACTTTCTCAAATCATCTTCTATCTTTTTGTTTTATTCCTTCTTCTTTAAATCATGTCCACAATCATTCTCTCAGTCCTCTATTCTTATTAA